TTCAAGTGAGTCTCTCAAATTCACTCTATTATGTCAAACATTCAGTAGAAACTCCTCTCTCTATTAAGTCTCAACCTTACGATATGAACTAAGTTAAGCTTGGTGAAGATATGCAAGAATTCGTAGTGGATTGATCCTTAGGAGAACCTCTTTCGATTATCCTCCTAACTAGGTCTAAACATTAATTCAACTAGCCTCTTTCGATTACTAGCAAGAATCAATGAATTCAACCAATAAGATAATACAAAACATCACAAATTATGCCTCTTTCGATTACATAAACAACTAGATATATATGCAACAATAAAAATGCCCAAAACGCTTCAATACATAAAACTAGAGTTAAACAATTCTCAAAACACCAAATCCATCAATCTCTAAGGAAGAATTACTCCATGGATATGGAGAAATTTATCACAATTAAGTTTAAGTCAAAGGAAAACATAAAATATCCAAACCCTTGTCTTGAGTGAGGATGAATGGTGAAATCCTTGTACTCTTTCTTCTCCCTCTTCTCCTTATCTTCCTTAGGTATAAATTATGTCAAAAGTTCTCAAAATATTATTTTTTCCATGTATATATACCAAGTAGGGTCGGGCCCAAACAAATACACCTTCTCCTACGCGAAGTAGGATACTTTTTCGGAGTTGGACGTGCGCCACCGAGCACCTCGAAGTGTGCTCGCGCACTTGGCCGCGCACCTTTCACCCTGTTCTGCCTCATATGCTCGCCTAATGCGCGTCTAGTGCGCGGCCGCACACGTGGGTGGCGTTCTGTTGGGAATTTGGGAAAACGTAAAATATAAAAGTTGTATCCCTTTTAAATATCTTTTCAATGATATATTGTGAAGACCAAACGGAGTTCCGTACGAAAAGGTATATGCATTTTATTGGACAGTACACAATATGCCTGCTCGATTCTTCCTTTCGTTCCACTATCATCCGTTGATCCCAGAACATGATCCCGACTTAATCCTTGGGATTTTATTCAAACTTCAAAGCTCCAGACTAGCTTAATCTCATTCCATAACATTTACATAGATCGGAATCACTCCTACAAGGCATAAAACACATAATTAGTGCAAAATACTAGCGATTAAAGCTCCAGCTCAATTAAAGTGCAGTAAATTAGAGTGCGATAAGCGACTAAAACATGAGATTATAGCCTACCATCAGTAAGTCTTCTCCAAAATATACAAATAACTCAACAGCCTGCATGTATGTTAAGTTTACACCATGTCAGTTTGTATGTCTTTTGGTGTGTATATTGTCTTAGGATCCGCATATTTTGGCATGACTATGCTGCCAACTACCATGGCAGTAGCTTTGCGTTGTATATATGTGTTGTCCATCAAAGTGCATGTGTGCAAGCTGATAAATTTTTGAACCTTGAACAATGTTGATTCATCTATGCTGGTGGACTTGAACTGCCACGTATAATTTTTACCAACACATACGAGGTAGTAGATACAGAATAAAAATAATTATAAAAATGTTATGCAAATTGTAGCTACATAATACGAGGTTGTTTATGCACAACAAATTGTTCTAAACAATTTATATATATAAAAACTACAACTTATACACAATATAATTTTGACAAATAAAATGTTCTTACCTTCTTACCTTAGACTACCCTAAAATTGAAACTATTCATCACAGCATATCAATCAACTTCACTGTTCCTGATACTTCTCCAAATATGTTGCAATTGCTTGACAATTGTACCACGTTAGTATTACGATAATCAAAAACACATGCACTCAATTAAAAGTATAGTAATTCAAACCTATGTATATTCAGGTGCTCAGTATTTGGCAGAATACTTGTAGATACTTTGTTCTGTGATCACATTTTGATTTTTTCAAATCTTAAGTATTGTGTAACAGTTACACTTTAATTTGTAGAGACATAACAGTTGAACTATATTTGTTATGTAGTATAGTTGTAGATAATTTGTAATAAAATTGTAGAACACTCGAAATTCAAAAACATTACCACTGGAAAAACATAGCAAACCTGCAATTGTGCTCACATTCGACATACTGTATTCCAAATCGAAATCACGTACTGTTATACACAGCGGATACATTCCTAAGATTTTGTTTTCCTTTTTCGTCTCCATATACACTCGAACTCCCATGTCGTTCTGAATTTCCATTGGAGGACAACGTTCGTTGACAGTGTATTTGATCTCGATGATTTTTATAGAGGTATCGATCATTAGATGTTATGCAATTGCGGCATTCAATTGACTATAATATGAATCTTCATCGACTACAATTCCGTCAACATCAAAATCTATGTATCTCCCAAAGCTACCACTGACCATTGAGTTGAAGCATTATCACCAATTTTGACATTATATCGCCAAATTCAATTCAATTGTAGAGAAAACAATTGAGCAATCATATGAAAACTTTAGAATACAGCTAATTATTTGCAATTGTGTTCTTCAGAAGCTTTTGTTTTAGTGTGTTTCCTTGTTTATGGAAAACCATCGGAAATCTGCGTAATAGAAAGATTCTACAGATATGTTGCCTTGATTATGGTGCGATGATTGCGTCTAAATTTTCAAACTGAAATATAAGCTATCCTAAAATCACGCGTCTAAACAAGGAAGTCTACCGGACAAAGGAGTCTAGTTTAAACGAATGTATATTTTTTGTAGCTAAAACGTGTTTAGGTCGGGTAAATTCCAAAACTGGGATACTTTTGATAATAAGGTTTCAAATAGTGTATAGGAAAAAAATTCCTAAAAAAAAACGTAAAAGCCCTATTTGGTCGCCCTCATTTAACCTATACCCACATTTAAAAAAAGTTTTAACTTGTATCCACTTTTTAAACAATTTCAGGCATCTTTCTCATCCTCCTCCTCTTTCGTTTTCTTCTCCTCCTCCTCCTCCTCTTCCTCCTCCTTCTTCTTCTTCTTCTTCTTCTTCTTCTTCTTCTTCTTCTTCTTCTTCTTCTTCTTCTTCTTCTTCTTCTTCTTCTTCTTCAGGTGACAATGATTTTTTTAATATGGTGGTTGTGAATATATTTTAATGTAGTTTATTATGTTTTACAATGGTGAGCTGTTATTCCGCTTTATATTTTACTATTGCTTATGGTTTCTTCTTCTTCTTTTTCTTAATTGCAAAATGGGTTCATTAGATTTATTATTGTTTTGACAAATTGATGAAGTGGGCTTGTTCCTGGTGATATTTGGAGGTTATGTTTCAAATTTGAGTTAATTTGGAGTAGATTTAGATATTAAATTTTATATTTAATTATTATAATTCGAACAACAAATTTCTGTTTCTGGGCAATTTGCACTTCAGGCCTATTTGGCCTTAAGTGCATAAAAACGTTGGTTGCACTTCAGACCTTTTGGCCTTAAGTGCATTTGAAGTGCAATTTTTCACTTCAGACGTATTGGCCTTAAGTGTAGCAAAACGTTTGTTGCACTTCAGACCTTTTGGTCTTAAGTGCATCTGAAGTGCAATTTTCCACTTCAGACTTATTGGCCTTAAGTGCATGAAACTATTAGTTACACTTCAGACCTATTTGTCCTTAAATGCATCTGAAGTGCAAATTTTCACTTTAGACTTATTGGCCTTAAGTGAATGAAAATATTTGTTGCACTTCAGACCTTTCGGCCTTAAGTGCATCTGAAGTGCAATTTTTCACTTCAGACTTATTGGCCTTAAGTGTACCAAAACGTTTGTTGCACTTCAGACCTTTTGGCCTTAAGTGCATCTGAAGTGTAATTTTTTACTTCAGACTTAATTGGCCTTAAGTGCATCTGAAGTGTAATTTTTTACTTCAGACTTAATTGGCCTTAAGTGCATGAAACCATTGGTTACACTTCAGACCTATTTGGCTTTAAATGCATCTGAAGTACAAATTTTTACCTCAGACATATTGACCTTAAGTGAATGAAAACTTTCGTTGCACTTCAGACTTTTTGGCCTTAAGTGCATCTGAAGTGTAGTTTTTTACTTCAAACTTATTGGCCTTAAGTGCATCTAAAGTGCAATTTTCACTCCAGACTTATTAGCCTTAAGTGCATGAAACCATTAGTTGCACTTCAGACCTATTTGGCCTTAAGTGCATTTGAAGTGCAATTCTTTCACTTCAGGCTAATTGTTTTTTAACTTCACACACAATAAGTCTGAAGTTGATCGTAAAGTGAGTACGCTTGCAAACTTTTTTACAAAGTGGATATAGGTTCAATTGTGACCCCAAAATCTAGTATAGATGCAAAAGCCCCCCAAAAAACTATACTTATACTACTGGTCTATTGATATTGATCAATGCGGGCTAAGAACGTTAATACTTGAGCCCACGTTCATTCTTGAAACGATGCTTACAAACAGCCCAAACCAATACTTCCTACTAAACATCACAACCATTCAATCAAATGGAAGTAGTATTTTTACATGTGAGTACATACCTTAACAATTAAAGATTATATTTTGTATACTGTCATAATTAAAGATCTCATTCCGTTGAAAGATCTTCATATACGTTTCTATTCCATTGGAGAAAAGTTCTTGTATAAAATTTAAGACTTGAAGAATGCGTAGTACACTTTTATTAATTTTTTGGACAATTTTGTCTATATAACAGTTAAATAATATTTAAATATCAAATATTATAGGTGTATAATAGTCGATTACTATAAAAATATAGATAAAAAATCAAGATAAATGAGAATATTATGGTGAAATGCTATATTATTATATAGAGTGACAGTTATAGAGGTGTTGCATATCTCTTGTTTGCAATCTACCGGTTTTTTTAGGTTTTGAATTTTCAATCAAAAAAAAAAAATCAAAGGGATGTAAGTGAATGCGAGTATTATTATTACATTTATTTAGTTAAGAAACAGAGAGGTAACAACCAATAATCCAGAATTCTCTACTCCTAAATTATAATAAATGGGTGGAAAACCCAGTTACAAAAATGAATGACTAGCTATCTCTTCCAAATGCATAACAGCGGTAAAAGAAGCCAAAATTAAGACGAGCTAGATCTGCGCCATGCGTAGAAACAGAGAAGCAATGGCATTAACATGCTCATGGGTGACCATTTGGATGAATAAGCACTGCTTTTAGGCTTGAAAGCCGGAAAACCAGGAAGCCAAGGATCGCCATTAGTTGCAGCAGGAGGAGTAAAGTTAGACGTCGCCGGAGGAGTAGAATTGTGCGGAGTTGAGATTTTGATGTGAAATTTGAGTCCAGAAGCACAATGACCTGGAAACCCACACAAAAAGAAGTAATCGCCGGGTGTTTCCAGGGTAAGTGTGTCGCCGCCGGTGTTGTATATTACTATTGGATGGTTATCGGTGCATGCGTTGTAGTCGTTGCTGTCCACTTGCATCACATTATGTAACCGTGGGTTGTAATTGAAAACTGCATGCATGTTACACAATCCACGTGTAAGTAATGTTGCAGACATAAAACAATTGAACATATAAATGTGTTCCCTTACTAACAACTCTTTGCTTTACTGTAGTAGCAACGCAATAAAAAAAAACTTATGATTTCTTTATTTGTCATAATTAAAAATATATAATAAGCCAGTTAAACTGATTAATTAGCCTCTACTTTTCACACTATTGTTTAAAGTCCTTAATGATGACTTTTAATGTATACTTTTGCTCTATTCCACTTCCAACTGCTGCCCTATTTGTTTAAATTTCATTTTTCCTATATAATTAAGTTTCCTTTGCTTTAAACTAATCGTCTTGCAATTAATTTGAGAGCTAAAACTTGCTATTTTCAAATAACACAATACAACTATTGGGCAAATTTTAATGTCTCGGAAATTGAGGGTGCCGGCCAAAAGAATGAGTACATATATAACCACAGTAATAGCTAAGATTAAAGTAAATTAAGTATTAAGTTATTAAAAAGAAAAATAGGAAAACGAAGATCTTACCAAGAGAATCACCAAGTTTAAATTTTTTGGAAGAAACCCATTGATTGTAATCAACGTTGAAATCCCATCCTGCAAAATCACCAACTTCATACACCTCAGCCATAGTTGATCCTGCGATAGTCATTATAACCACTAACAAAAACATCATTGCCTTTCTGAATAAAGCCATAATTGGTAGTAAATTTTTGTTTATATTTCAGTGCTATATATTGGAGTACTAACAAAGAATTAAACTCTGAATCTGAATTAATGAGGCTATGAGTATCGGATTTGAGGCTTTTAAAGGCGTAGTTAATGGTCTCCGATCCTTGCTAGGAATATGAATTTAAGGAAACATGCATGCTAGTTTCGGAAAATTAACTTCCAATTACTCCACTCATGATTTCCGGTGAAACTAAGGTAACTAAACATATTGTTGGAAAAGGAAAAGGAATCTCTAAAAAGTAATTACCATAAATGTTTCTGAAATTCACAGAGGTGCAGCATGGTACGTGATTTCCCCCCTAAGTTTTCGTTATCGTCAAAAGTCTCAAAATATTGCGATTTTTGTTTTTCCTCCAAATTATCGTGGTTGACCAAAACAATTCAAGGGTTAAAATAGCCAAGTGCCCAACTAATTTTTATGATAAAATTATGAACAAACCCTATTAATTTTAGAGAAATTAACTTAAATAGCTGTTTGTCCGAAAAATAGCTGACAAATGTATATATTATACATAATTAGTGTATAATATTTGTATATTGACTACGGACTGTAAATATTTTTGACCGAGTAGCCAAATATATAACGTCCCCTTTTAGAGAATTAACTTAATTTTATGAGGGAGAAATAAAATTTTAATAAAGTGATTCTTTAAATGCAACAACTCATAGCTAAAGAGTCAATATAATATTTATATGAAGGAACAATAAAATTTAATTAGTGAGAGAAATTATATATATAATACTATAACAATTATCTAAATGCCGAAAAATATTATTACATTAGCATAATACATGAATTCAAAATGAAAGGGCATCATCGGAACTTACATAAATGATCAATTTTAGTCATGTTAAGTAGATAATTGTTTATTGTAGTTAAATGTATCTAATGTGATGGTATCCTACCGAACACATCTTTATAGAATGTGTTTTTTTTGTATATGTTTCCTTATAATACTTTGATTATTCTGCCATAACCAGAACCCTTGTTGTCGATATTGATATCTCTCTTGAAAGTGCAACATATAGTTATTCGCGTAAGAAAATATATTATGGTAAATATAGTCCAATTTTTAGGATGTTTGTCCTTGTTTTTTATTTATTATAACTACAAAACATAAACATACTGAAAATTATTTTCACACAAATTTAGAAGGATATTCTTTAGTTTCGGAAGACGAAAGTTGAATTCGGGGTTAAACACATACTTAGAAATACATTGATCAATATCATAAGTTCTACATATATGACGTTATTGTCGAAACGTCTATATACTATATGTGTACTATTACATAAGTTATTCAGTAGATCTATGTTTTCAGTAGCATGACAGGCATATTTTTCTTCAAAATCAACCTATATGCAATGGAAGATCAATTTTAACTTAGTCTATTATATATGTGGAGAAATAATAAACTTGACAACAAACATGTATGGTAAAAGACTATTTGGTATTAAAGTATTTAAGTATTTTCTTGGTAGTAATTGTTAGTATCATCTTGTGCTAAGTCAAAACTGAAAAATATTTTGTTTTTACCATAAAACTTAGCAATCAACCTTTTATTTAGTTGATCAACAAATTTATTTTTGCTAGCTAAGATAGCTCTTTAATTTCAATCATGTAATTCTCATAAATTATGTTTTAATCTAATGATGAAGATATCCTCCTTACTATTACGATTGGGATTGATAACCAAGTATTCTAGAAAGAACCAAATTATATTTTATTGGATGCTCTTCTTCGTTTTTAACACGAATCAAGAAGTCACTGAATGTTAGATTTGTTCTTACTTTTATATTTCTAGAGCAAAAAATAAGTTATTACAACTATGTTCTTTCCCTATGAGTTCTTCTGTTTAATATTTTAGGGCTATTTTTGGTCTATCAATATTATATTCGTGTTTTTATAATAGTATAGGCTCTCTTATTTCTAAATTAATTTGGACAATATGATACGTTTTCAAATTAAATTAGTAGTAGGAATTTTTTTAAAAGTATTTATCGTAAAAGTTATAGGATTACATGGCTTAAAATATGTCCATATCCCGAAAGTAATTATACTAATAGAAAATCTAACATGTCCCTAAAGGTAGTAGGTTTACATGCTAACATGTAGTGTTATATATCTATGCCCGAACATAATTATACTAATGAGATTTCTAAAGGTAATCATGTACGATTTCTGACGTGTAGTATTATGTCCTAAAACTAATAGGATTACAAGACTAATGTCTAGAATTTCGATTTTATGTCCTTTTTATTGTGAGCTATTATGCTATTGTTGTATTATTATATATAAAATTCTCTCATTAATTAAATTTTATTATTCATTTATATAAATAAATATTTAAACCATCATGTGCCATTATATAAATAAATATTTAAACCATCATGTGCCATTGAAATGTACCTTATAATTTAATTATTTAATAATATTTAAATAAAAGAAATGACTTTTGGACATTTAAGAAGCGTCTTGTTAAGGAGACTCTTGGACTTTTCATAAGCGGAGTGTGCTGGCATTGCGTAGTGTAAATTTTATTACGTATAATTCAATATTTTATTCATGCTTTTATAATAATATAGATATAGATAGATTTGACTACTTGGCCAAATTTTTTTTATAATATGCTGTTTGATAAAAAAATTGTGATTTAAAATTTTATTTCTTTTTCTTTTTGAATTCATGATTGTGATTTACAATCTACCTATTATTGAAGGTTTTTTTTTTTCTTTTTGTTTTTCTTTCTTCTTCTTCTTTCTAAAACTGCTGCAAAAAAAGAAGAAGAAAGAAACACGGCTAAATGTTAATTTTGTTGTAGTAAAAACTTGTAAATCCATTTAGGGATGAGCGTAAATGTAACAATCCGATCCCTTATTTTGGATAATTGTATTCTAATTGGTATTTTGAACATGTACATAACTTGCTCGGACATAAGTTATACTGTGCTAATTAGTCGGTTTAATTTGTATTACTTGTGTATCACTTGTATTAGTAGTGGAAAAAATTCAAAGTAATTGTTGTAAATCTTAATTTCATAGATAAAGTCATATAAAATCTTGAAGTTTGTGAACATGTATATAAAATTAATACAGTATTAATGAAAATATTGACAATATTTGAAGATGTTTCAAAAATAAAAAGAGTTCCAAAAAGATTGCAAAGTGAAGTATACATTATTCACTTGTAATGAATTTGTCCACCAATGGGACAAAGTATAGAAAATTGAACCCACGTGTTCCCATTATCCTCAAACAAATATTCAACAGTATTATTCCCTCCACTGGGGCATCTTGCCCAGACCCCTCCCTTATTTTTGAGAGTTATAAGAGAGGAATCTAGCCTATTTGATCAAGTTTCTAAAATTTAATTATTTTAAAAAATATCTTTTGGAAAGTAATAGACACTAATAATTTGTATTTAATTAATTAACTTGAAATTTTTTATCAATAAAAAGTATTTCTATTATAATTAGAGTAAATAAAATTTTATTATTTACCAAAAAAAGGTAACAATTTATGTTTCGTCAAGATTCTAAGTGGCGTTTGGACATAAGAATTATGAAATTTCGGAAAAAAAGAAAAAATATTTCAAGTGAAAATAATATTTTAAAAATAAAATTATGTTTGGACATGAATACAATTTGGATCTGTTTTTGAATTTTGTGAGTAATTTGAAATGAAAATTTTAAAAAATAACTTTTTGAAATTTTTCAAATTTTCAAAAAAATTCGAAATTCAACTTCAAACGAAATTTAAAATTTTCATGCCCAAACATTAATCCGGAAAAAAGTAAAAATATTTTGAAAAAAAAGCAAAAAAATTCCCATGGCCAAACGGGCCCAAAAATGCTTTTGGACAAAAGCTATTGTTTTCATATTCTGAAAAATAATTGTTGCTATTATTCAAAAACAATTGTATTTTTTATTTCTAAAAACGTGGTCAAAACTCCTCAAAAGGGTGGCTAATAATCCAAGCGTTTTATGCAAAAGCTCCCTGCTACCAAAAGAGGGGAGCATCTTGAAAATGGGGTTTGCTGCAGCTAGTCCCTCCACTTCAATGGCGAGCCATGTTTTCCTAAGAAGCTCTCATCAGAAGGAAGTAATGTTAGGGTCTTCTTTGCGAAAAGAAACATGGAGGTTTAATCTCAACTTGCCCAAGCTCAACTACCAATCAAGAAACTCATTTTGCTGCAAGAATGAATCAATCGATTTCGAAGAAAGAACAAGTCCTAATGAGGTCAATTTTAAGATCCCATCTCTCATTTTTCTGTTTTTTGGTTCGTTTAAGTCGTCCACTTAGCTGCTGCATATGCTTCATTTCGTCGCAATTTGTTCAAAGTAAAAGTTGGGTGAGTATTCCAACTTTTGAACTTATCAAAACGAAAAAAAAAGAACTTGGATGTTGTGTTTACTTTTAGATTAAAGGGAAGATAGAACTTGGCACTGATCAAGTTTGGATTTTGTTTTGAATATTTTAATTTGAGGACGGTATGATCTCTACACAAAGATTCTGATTAGGAATTTGACGTGGCAAATTTACTATCTTTATATTCAATTCTGGCTTTTATTGTTGTTTGAGAATCCTGAACTCAAGAGCTTATATTCCTGATGCTTGAAGAAAACAAAGGATAAGTGAATCATTATATGAGGTTTTCATTTCCAAAAAAGTAGCTTGATGCTATGATTTTATGTTAGTGATTTCTTTTTACATGATTCGTCATTCCTTGATTTAGTTCTCTTTCAACATTCTTCCACTGTATCCAAGTAGAAGTAACAAGCGGTACACGGTTCTCTCTACCTTCGAGGTATTCACTCAATTTATCGAAATGTATAAATAATAGGTTGAGTGTGGGGTGAGATGGCAGATAGGAGGTGGAGATATCCAAATGGCTTTGTAGGAAGGAGGCTCCTTCCCTCTTATGTTGTAAGAGGGACATCTAGAAGTTTTAAGCAATTGCTTCAGTATCAGCAAAGAAACAATAGCTCCCCTCTTGCTAGAGCAAAAAATCGATTGTTATTCCTTTATTCGTAATTCCTCCTGTGGACCACATTTGAATCTTATGCACCTATATCGTTACTTTCATGCATAACTTCCATGATAAAGTCAAGGACTTTCCTCTGTCAAATCTCGCTACACTTGGTTGAACAGAGGAGACAATAGCTTTCAAGCTTGGCCATGGAAAATTATATGGAAATCTATAAAGCACCTTACAAAGTAGCATGCTTCTTGTGAGAAGCGACTCATGAACACAGTCCAACCTCCAAAGAAGAGGTTTTGCAATGCGTAACGGATTCTACCTTTGCAATAAAGAAGAAGAGAATGGAAGCAGGAGCGGAGGGAGGGTGTTATCTACGGGTTCGGACGAACCCAGTAACGTTTTGCTCAGACCCTGTATTTGTACTAGAAAATCTATTAAATATGTATAAATACCTAATTGCGAACCCAGTAACTAACGAGCTATGAGTTCGGTTGTAAATTCAAAACCCATAAACTTTAAATCCTGGCTCCGCCTCTGAATGGAAGTCACCTATTTTTGCACTGCTGGATTGTTAAAAAACTATGGGATCTGTTCCTTAGCATGTTTGAGTAATTGAGTTGAAACGGGTCATGCCAAACTCTTTGAACGATCTACTGCTTGCATGGGATCTCAAAGGAAGAAATAAATCTCTGAAGGAAATCTTGAAAACTATCTCAGCTTGTGTATGTTGGGTACTTTGGAATGCGAGGAACTCTAGGTGTTTTGAGGGAAAAGCAATCACTGACTCACTGTACAAGAGATACAATTTAGATGCTCGTGTATGCTAGCCCTGTGGTGCAATTATCAGGATGTATAAGAAATAGATAAGATGATAGATTTCATTAGCTCGCTTCAGGAGTAGGATCGTTTGTATAGAGCTGATCGCCTTCCCTTTTCTTTTCTTTTTTTGGCGTTGGGGACTGTGTTCACCCCTTTGATCATAGCAATCACCTTCTTGGTGTCTGGTTTTTGTTATATTAATAATATCTCTTGTTTACTGATAAAAAAAACTTCCATGCTAAGGTTAGACATTTAATGATCTCATTAGTAGTATTTGTATTGACTATCAACTACAGATTGCTTGAAATCAAAGGCATATAGGTTGATAACGTTGAACTAGATACTATAGGATAAGCAACTAGGAGGAAGTGTAACGAATGAAAGTGGTTCAAGCTAGCATATCAATCAGCTAAAATGACATTTTATTTACTCAAAACTGATTGAATGCCTGAATAAGGAAAGAGATGGAACACACTGGTTACAAGGCAATACACTTTGCCATCATGTTGTTGACTCGGTGAAATGATTTAGAGGGTGCTTGGTAAAGCTTAGAAGCTGGTCAAATTGGCTTATAAGCACCTTTTGGCTTATCTACGCGTTTGGTAAACATCCAAAATGCTTATAAGCCAAGTACTTATAAGCTAAAATCAGCCATAAGTCATAAGTTGGTCACCCCCAACTTATGACTTTTCAGCTTATAAGCACTTTTAGTTTGACCAAAGTTTTTACTAGTTTATCCTTAATAATATTTATTAATTCACAAAATATTTTTCCCAAAATATTTCTCTTCATTCCATATTCGTTGTTCATCCTTTTATTTACAAAGAAATTTTTTAATTTATAATCTTTTGTAAAGTTTTTAAGGGTGTTTTAGTCATTTTAACAAAATAACAGCTTATCAGCACTTATCTACCAAATAAATCAACTGCTTATTATCAATTTCAGCACATTTTTCCAAGCACGTAAATGTTTATTTAAGAAATCGGTTTCAGCGCTTAAAAATGCTTTTAAGCACTTCAAGCTTATCAGCTATTTACAATAAGCTAATCCAAACGGGCTCTTACTCTGTTTATCCTCCCGGAAAATTTGTGATATATCAGAGATGGCTTGCTTGCTACAAGTAGCTGTGGTATATAATATAACAGCCCACTTGATCTTCGGTTCATAAGAATCTTGTACTCCAACTTCCTTTCCTTCCTTACCACTTGCTGATGTATAAAAAGTAGGCTAGACAGCTGAATATCTTAGCATGGACTCTGACTCATTAGACTTGAGAATCTATATAAAAAGCTATGCACCATGACTATATGTAATCGATCATTGGCGGAAACTGGAAACTTTTTAGTGGCATGATTTCTAAATGATGGAGTAAATATCGTCAGCCAGTGATTCATTAAAAAACAAATTTCCACGTTTCCATTGGAGAACAACTATCGGGGAAAATGATCAAGCACAATTCTAATGTACCCACCCTCTCTTTCAATTGATAGTGGATTAGCAACACATCTTGGAAATGCCAGTCAGTTGCTAAGGCATGTTTACTTGTTTGTTATGACCTTTACTTTTTGTGAATAGTCATAGATCTGAGTTTTTATTGCAGTGTTTTTTTTGTATCTGACGGAATTGCCTTGATAATGATTTGTGGATGAGAAAGAGAAAGAATATCTGTTTCAGATGTATTGCTTAAATTTTGGCACGTTAATTATATTGCATCTTGATTACACAATACAACTAGTTCTGAAGGTTTCCTAAAGTAACAATCTATTGAATATGCAGGTCAAGAAAGAGATTGAGCAATGCTATGAATTAATACACAGGCTTGGTCGGGGTGCTGTGTATTTAGGATCTTCAAGGATGGGTCCTGAACATCCACACTATGTTAAAACCTTCGAATTGGGCAGCAAGGTTAGTGAACTTTATTTAAGTTTAGGGGTAAAGAAATAGAAATGAATGAACGCGTAGGAGAAATAACGAGAAATGGTGAGCTTGTATCTAAAGACATACTATTTTAGAAGAAAGTGTAAGCCTTACTATTTTATAGTTCAAGAAGAGCCTTGATCAGCTGAGCTTTTTCTAAATACTACTTGTTCGATAGATTGCAGCCCTCTTAGATTGTACAACATGGTCGGGTGCTGGGCCAGGCTTAATGGATGCTGCAACGCAAGGTGCCCTACAAGCAGGGAAGCGTGTTGGTGGGTTCAAGATAGGTAGAGAAGCTGGGGAATGGACGGCTTCAAATTTTCATCCTTACTTGCCATCAGAGAGTTATCTGACATGCAGGTAACTAAGGACACGTTGTAAAGCCAAAGGAACCACAGTTGGGCAGTTCTCAATAGGCGCTTCCCTATGATAGCATAAATGCATTATTTTTCTCATGTTCAATTAACCCTTGTATTCATCAAATCGTATTATACCCAGGTTTTTCTCTGCAAGGAAACATGGGTTGGTGGATGCTGTTGTGAGATGTAAAAGCTCTGAGAGGACAGCTGTTGTCGCCCTTCCCGGTGGAATTGGTACCCTTGACGAGGTTTTTGAGATTATGGCTTTGATTCAACTCGAAAGAATTGGATCTCAACTTCCTGTTCCTTTTCTTCTAATGAACTATGACTCATTTTATTCCAATTTGCTGGAGTTCCTCAATGATTGCGAGAAGTGGGGCACTGTTTCCAAGAATGAGGTTGCATCATTGTGGAAAGTTTGTAACAACAACTCAGAAGCTTTGGCTTACTTGACAGAATTTTATGGTCTTTCTCCTGTCGAGACTGGTAGAAAAGATTCTGAATCATCAGAATGTAGAAGTTTACCTTGACACTTTTCGTCCATCAGCTATGGAGAAAAGCTGAAGATTATGTTTCATCAGCAATTTCTATTTCTTATTCTACTCTTTCAAGGAGGTCATGTTATTTGCTGAAATTGAATATCGGAGTCTACGTCTTGAAGCAGAGCAATGAAAATGTGTGGTTTGAACAAAAATTTCTTAGTTGTGACTTGCTTTTTTTGAGATTAATGTTAAACCAAAGTGCGGAGTGTTACTTTCTTCTCTCCAATCTCCATAAGATGTTAGGGGGAAACTGAATTCAAGTTATAATCACACAAAAAAACACTAAATGAACCTTGTTGTGCAAGTAATACAGTAAATGGATCGTAATAGAAAGATTAATAAATACTTGATTATTTAGTATAAATGCTTTTTTTGTTGGATATTTGATTCATTGTATTAAAACATTATTTGAACCTTGTTTAATTTGAAAAACATGTTTTAGTTTTAATCGGTTTTTGATCTGGTAAATTCTCTGTCTATATCGCCTTTAAGCTCTGGTCCAGGTTATATATACTACAAAGACCTGTTTGAGGAGTATTCTCTGTTCTTACGGAGTATTTTGAAGGGCTTGAGGAGAAGAGCTACCATATGTACTAAGTTATTTTGGTCTTTAAGTGCTTTATCCAAGTGCAGCTAATTCATGTGTAAATTATCCCATTTCATATACCGGTAATATTTATGAGTTTAAGTTCTATGCATTGATTTACACGATCATATTTATTTATGATATGCATTAATGAGTAACCTCATAAAAATGATAATTAACATGCTATAATAGGTTAGCTAAACTACATTGATCGTCTGAAGTTTTTTAAAGTGTTAAAATTTACTACTACATTATTTATGCTGAAAATGGAAATGACAATCAAATGCAGGATAAGTAACACCTAAGTTTGTACCATGATAATTTTTTATAACTCAAACCAAACGACCCCTTAGATATTACATGCAGCAAAATAATAATATGAATTACTTGGATTAAACTTGAGGGTTTAAATTTACACAGGTAGAGTGAGGATTTTTCATAACTTAAGACCGGTATATAGAGATATCTGTGAACGTTAATACTAAAAATACAATATATATTAAGAAATGAAATCCTAAGATATCCAGTATCATCAAATAAAAACCATAAAAATATATACATGCGTTCATTCATGACTCTACGCTCAGTAATAAATATTTTTCTTACAGAGGAGACATAAATTATACTCCTATATTACATCAAACAGCAAGAGGAGACGCCTTTATCGGCTATTGACGCCGTCGAAGTGCGACGACGTCGTTCCCGTGCCTGTGCCGCCACAGTGCATTCATATTCAGTATCATAATTTCCATGGTAATCAACGACATGGAATTTTTTATTGGAACGTCGTCTTAATTGAGGATTAAGCTGATCTCTATAACGAAGAAACCTACCATCTAATTGTCCATAGTAATCAGATTGGCTAATAAAAAGATTACTTGAACATTCTCCAAATTGAAACCAACACAACTCTGCTTTATTCCCTGCTTTTCCTAGCCTTTTTAGAAGTACTTTTGGATCCACATTTCCTGACACTTCAATCATCCCATCTCCATTCATTCTGCAATTTCTGATACCTATTTAACATTTTTAAAAATATGAGAACAAATGAAACAGATTACTAACAATCTACCATCCGAGGCGGATCTAGGATTTGAAGCACGTGGGTGTATTTTTGAATTCAACCAAAATTTGTTTTTGGCCCACTACTAATATATCACTATTTTTTAAAGACATATACATGTATACATGGAGTTTTTGCCGAACTTTACGGGTGTCAATGATCCCTATTTATATAGCATAGGTCCGCCCCTGTCCACCATGAAAGAATTCAAAAAATGTACTCACTCTATTTCAATTTATGTGAAACTTAAACAAGCCATAATATTTGTGGAGCTATAATTTTTCTGAAACTTGTAGTGTTAAAAATGGCAGAATATTTGTGTGGCTAATTATTTTCTCATTGATGGTAGAATTGAAAGTTTTAATTAAATTATTTTCAAATTTAAAAAAGAATCATTCTTTTTAAAACTTACTAATAAAACTGAAATGGAGGGAGTATATTATTTAAAAAAACCCACATATTACATAGGAAAAGGAAGTGTAAAAATACCATGGACATTTTTGAAGACTTTCGCCACGATTTTTTGCCATCCTGAAGTGCGATTGTTGACCCACAAAACGCATGTCTGTTAATGGATTAACATAGTAAAAAAGAAGTANATATATATATTTTTATTTTTATTTTTACGTGTGTACCATGAATGGATAACTTTGCATCATGAGTTGCTGTTCCAATGCAGAGAAGGACATTATAACTCTGAAATGATGAAAATAGTGTTGTTTGTTATGGAAGGGCAATGCAAGAATATTGGATGATATTTATAAGATCGCTAATAGCATTGTCGTTCTTTAAATGGAAATAAGATTTGGGATTTTCCTTTATCTTCGTAGCTAAATAAAAGATTCGTACTATAGAAAATACGACATTGAATGTGACATTGGTAAGAGCATACGATACATCTGCAAAGTATGGATATGGGCTCAAATGTAAATATTTACTTTAATCTTTTTTGTTTAACCATTTAGTATTCAAAACTCACTAATTGACTAAGAAGATAAAATGTATTTACCAAAAGAACTTTCATTTCCCAAGCTCGAACGGCGAATGTTGTAGAATCAAGAAATTTTCAAACCAATAACCAATGAAATTATTCGGAGAGAGTATGCATATGTAACTTTGAAAAAAAAGGTAGATATTTTGGAACCTAGGTGTAAAAAAGCTTCTTAACATTTTGTACCCTATAAAAATTAATGCAATGAAAGTTTCCAAAGATATCGTGAATTGTTATTGTAGCTATTAAATGGCTAATTTTTCTTTCCATTTTAGTAGTGATAAAGATGCCGTCAAAGGGTCAAAAAAAGAAAAGAAAAAAAATCTTCCACTGTGAGAAAAAGCTATCGTCGCTTATATTAATGTATGTAAATCATTGGACGCGGGAACGTTGTTTATCTAATGCAATATACCAAGAAAGGAAAGCATATCAGAAAATTCTTCTCAAGATCTTCTTAACATTCTGTACCCTATCAATTGATATAAATGAAATTCTCCAAAGATTTATAGTTTAACATATAATAATTCTATTTTCCGGTACACCCCAAATTAGTTGTAAAAAAATAAAGAGAATTGTCCAAGTCTACTCATTGTTTGATGAACGTAATCTAATACAAGTTTTAGAACTTAGGTTATGTTTGGTATCAGAAAACCTCATGTTTGATTGGTTTAAATGTTATGAAAAATATTTTCCTAATAAACTTATTCTCCTCCAATTGAAAGAAAATAATTTCCCTGCCAAAAGGAGTGAAAATATTTTTTCAAAACTCTGATTTAACCTTCCGTACTCCTATTTCCACCCTCCAATCCACACCCTCGCCACCCTGGGCCTCCAGACCCC